AGGGCACGAACACAAGACCAGCAGTAATCACCATGGACCATAACCCTAGAACATACTTCCCAACAAACGATCAAAATTACCACAACCTCCGCATCCCCGCAGCAGTCCGTGGAACACCTTACATAGTGGAGCCGACCTTTTCACTTTCCAACCACAAGTGAACATGACGTGCAGCGCCGGAGGTAGATATTCGAAGCTTAAGCTTGCAACTCTGCAGGAGTTGCTTGTTGTTGGGAAACATGCTCTTCTGCAGCTGGCTGAGAAACACAAGGTCTCGCATTCAGCACATGATGCCAGAAAACTCGCAGATGAAACACAGTTCAAACGAACATCTACTACCCGATAGCAATGGCGTTTGCTTCTGCGCGAAGACAACCTGGAAAGTCGTATGCAAACTTCCAACCCAAACCTTCGAACACCCCTCTCAACCTGCAGCGGCTTTCTTCTTCAACTCCACAAGGAAAAATGCAACTTTGCGAGCTCTCTTGTGAATTTACTACAAGGCGCATGATGGGAAAGCGCAGTCATCCAGAATTCAAGGGATGAACCTGGAGTAGGGGTTGGGGACGCACCACACGTTCCGTTGTAGGAATTTTCTTTTGCTATTTACCATGAAGCTTCGACGTCCAGGGCCTCACTCGCCTCAAGTAGCTTGCTTGCGTACTTCAAGACTACTCTGGCACGCGTGTGCCAGATCTTGAGGTTTAGGGCCAGATGGCGCGCCAAAGCTGCTCAACCCCTAGCCACTGCCCGACGCTAGCTAGCTTCGGAAGCATGGTCTCGCAATCCCAAAGCCAAGGAGGACCCCACATGTCAGGCCACGATACAGCTACTTATTGCGAATGCAAATGTATTGCTTGACTATGTGGTGTTGGGTTCTCTGCGCAGATTCGTCGGACCTTGCGGTGAGGAGCCCACCCGTCGCGAAGGCACGCAGCCAGCCCTCGGGCGCCTGCCGCATGCTGTAGGATTCCGATAAGGAATTCCTGAAGTAGTGTCAAGGATTCAGAATTGCGGGTCGGGGATGCTCCTGAATAAGGGCCCATTGAAAAATCTGGGAATTCTTCGTGTTTTCGTGACAAACTGCAGTTCCTCCTCGACTCTATATACATTTCATGGACAAGCAATATGAAGTGCTTCCTTCTTCGGGTCTTGAGGTCTGGAAAGTTGTCTGTCGGTTTAGTGTTTCGAAGGTTCCCACAACCCACGAGCACAGGAGAAGCACGCAAGGAATTCCCGAAAGCCAGGGATACGGCTGGGGCCGAAAGCAATGAAAGCACCAAGTGCTCCGTCGTAGAAGCACAAAGGTACATTACTCGGAAATGCAGACACAGCGGAGCAGGTTGAGCAGGAGTAGCAAGAAAAGCACGAGACATGTCGACAACGAAAGCTTTCACCGGTACTGCATAAATCCCTGCTATACGCTCCTTTTTCCAACTGCTTTCGCTTCGGTTGCGTGTTCTGCGATTTCGACTCTCTTCGACGTCGTATCGGGTTCATCGAAAGCTTTGATCGCGTTTCAGACAGAAATGCTCTTTCGATGTTCGGAGGACCGGCAATTTCCCGGTCGGATCTCGCAGAACGAAAGCAGAGGAAAGTGAAACGCCTCAAGAAAGGGTTAGGGAAAGCGGCAGAACACAACTTTGATTCGAAGCTAGGCTTTTACCTAAATGGCAACGGAATGCGACCAGTTTCGAAGTGATCGACACATAGATGTCCACGGAGTCGATCGGTGATCGATCAAAGCAACGAGTTGTCATTTCGCACAAGTGTGCTACACAACACGTTGTTGTGGTGAGTTTGTCCACATGAGCGATGGTCAACGTATACCATACCTTATTGTGACACAGATGATACCCAAGCGAAGCTAACTGTAGCTTCAACCATGGACTATGCGATAAACTCAAACACATGTTCACAAACAACAGACACGTGCTGGTGGGTATATTAATATGTCTCTGCCCATCTGCCTTCATGTCTGCGGCTTCAGGCGACTGCTTTCATCGAGGCATCCGACGTTTGGTGGCAATTCGGCAACCACATTCTAGACTGCTGGCCTTACTGCCGGCATTTCGGAGAACTCCCTCGTCGTCAACCAGGACCTTCGTGGCAGAGTCTCGTCGGGATGAGACTTGGGCTGGCTGGAACAGTAAGATCTTTCCTTGAAGAGACGCTTTGAGCGCCGGAGACCTACGGCTGGCTTCCGGCTACGGAACCCTGAAACCTCAACCGCACTCGGATAGATCTGGATTCTGGGTTCAACCTCCGACCCCCCGCCTTCCCTTAATGCAGGAGCCCCGAGGGCCCGGCGAGAGGCATCCACTCGTGGTCCCACCTGAGATTCGGCTAAGTATCTAGTTGATGAGCTTTTTGGTCCAAACAGATATAAGGCTTAAGATTTGAATGAGACCGGTGAAGTGAACTATTTGCTCCCAGATGAAAACGTTTTTCTTCCGCAAAGACGGGATGCTGACCGCATCGCACACCACACTGCTGGATTGTCGCTCTGTGCCGCCATGTGAGCATGCTACCATCCACGTCCCCTCTCTCTCTCTCTCTCCCTCTCTCTCGCTATATATATATATATATAAATAAATACATATAATTTACATACCCACGAAGCATTAAATTGCAGTCAAACCGCTGTGCCACCTCTCGCTGGTTGAATCCTCCAGCCGCGTCAGTTGATCGTGGCTTGTGTTTAAACTTGAGTGCTGAACATGACTGTGCCGGAGCTGGCTGTTCTTGCCGCCACGGGCGACCATGTGGGAGTTGCAGAAAACTAGGGTACCCTATTTAGGGGTCCTTATAATAAGGATCCTACTATTTAGGGTCCTATATCAGGGTCCCCTATTTTCTGAAACTCTCATGTGGCAGCTTGCAAGAAAGCAACAAGATGTCCCTCTCTGCTCTCCTGGCCGGGGGAAACCGAGCTGGTTGCACGAGTCCAACGTCTCGGACCCGGAAGCCCGGGAGCCCAAAAAAACCGAGAGCCTGGATAGGTACCTACTATATAGGGCCCTAGAGGCTCTAGTACCCAGAGACTCCAATATTCCTTAATTAAGGAATGTTCCTTAAATTATAGTAGGATCCTTATGATTTAAGGTATATTCCTTAATTAAGGGATATTGGAGTCTCTGGGTACCCTATATAGTAGGTACCTGGGGGGTTTATGGTAAGGAGCCCTGAGCCGCCTTCGCCGCTGACGATGCCGTCAATTCGACCCTGTCAGCCGGTAGTCTGGGGTTTGGGGTACATAGGATAAGGGTTTCGGGTTTAGGGTGTTTCGGCCAACCTCCAAGTAGCTCAAAATATCTCAGAAATACTTGCGGGGAAAGACTGGAAGGGCACCTTCCGTTCCTGCTGCTGCAGCTGCAGCTTACCACTGTGTCTGAACCTAGTTGCACTAGTTTCCACTTCAGTCTGCTCACAGGCTGGATTCTCCTGAATGGCAGAGTACTTGTTCTTGACCAGGAGCTCGATGCCTCTTTGTACAAGGACAAGCCGATCTTGTCGACCACTGCTCGGATGCGCCAGAAGAGCTGTAGAACCTCAATTAGGGTTCAGGGTATTAGCTTCGGTACTAAGGGCGTCTCACACCCTGCAGAGTTTAGCGGGCATTGGTACGTGGCCATAGAGGATGTGCTTCTGCACGGGGGCGGCCTAGCGTCTAAGCATCTCCATGCGTCGTCATGGGGGCTTCTCGCAACTAGGTCCCCTTGTGGTCGTCCTTGCATGTATGTAGTAGATGTTCAACATCCTACTACTTATGTTCAAGGCTTGGAAACGGATCACTTGTTTTCTGAAACTCCCATAGATACTGTAGACCTTTCTACTGGTAGAACCTATAAAGAGTCCAGGCGCCAGCGGGAGATGCGTGCCCATGAAACTAAGAGTAGTACTGCTACGAAGAGTGGTGCTAGTGTGGTCGCAGTAGCACACAGACTGTCTTGAAAGTATCTGTCGCCGCACCGTTGCTTGCTACTCGTGGGCAACGGAAGCAAGCGCTGAGAGACAAAAACAAAGCCCACGAGATCCTGGGCTGTCATTCCATCAGCCGCAAAGCGAGTGCAGGACATGTTTTGCCCGAGCGCATAGAAAAGGTTTTCGCGAAACGGTTCAAGGCGTTCGGTCGGCATGCCTGCAAATTTACCATATCATACCTCGAGGAATGAGACCAAGCCACGGCAAGAGGAAGCGCTGAGGCTAAGGGCTTGCAGGCTTACAGTTAGATGTTGGCTGCAATTAAAACCATGGCCGATCAACCTACCATTTCAGCGTTCTGGCGAACGGCGGGTGTCCCGGTTCCCACATTAGTTCCTCCCAAAGGGTCCAAGCACCATTATAGTAGGTACTTAGTAGGTATTTGGGCCCCAAAAGTATATACTATACTAGTACTTGGACCCTTTGGGTTCCTCCCAAAGTGCATGGCTGGTATCCCGTGGGGCAGACCCTCCAAGTCTCCAAATACTCCCTATAGGGTTTAGGGTTTAGGGTTTAGGGTTTACCCTAGCGGCATGCCGTCCAGAAAAGAAGAAAAATGCTTGTGTCAACGGGAACATCGAGCTTTTCAGATGTTCTAAACTACCCACATGCTCCACCCTTTCGCTGCCGAACTTTGCTTGAATGCAGGATGATTTGGGCAGGAATCTCCTCACATAGTTCACAAGTTCGCGTTGACACAGTAAGCGAAGACCATTCAAGCTGCATGCTTGTCGGGGGTGAGCCCCCTGCCTATACATGTCTGAACCACCGAACCATCTGCCATGGACTTACGGTCAGTATGTCTGCGTGGGGCTTCATGCGAAATCGACCAAGCAAGTTGTAAGCCAGGCTTCTTGAAAGAGCCAACATATGTCTGAGGTAACTCAGAAGGAACCATGGACAATGCCTTCACTGGGTAAAGATGTGAATCTCCAATCCCCAAATATGCTGATGGCTGGATGAAGCATAAGCGTTCTAAACCAGTGGTGTCTGTCGCTCTCTCAGTCGTGTCTGCCTCACTTGCCTTTCTCGAGGTACTTCTCCTTGGCTGGCTTACCGCTTATCAATTATTGAAGGTACGACCCCCCTAAACCCTAAACCCTAAACCCTGAACCCTAAACCCTAAACCCTAAACCCCCCATCTCACGGAGTCCTGCGCTCCTAAAAGGGAGACGGTAAGCAAATCCCAGACTCTCATGGGACGAAGGTCAAAGTTGAATGGGCGGCCAAAGATCGGACTAGGCCTCCAGCTAGCATCAAATCATGTCCTGACCATAATATCTCTATATCTATATCTATATCTATATCTCTATATATATGTGTATATATGCATATATATTACATATCTATATCTATATCTATATCTATATCTATATCTATATCTATATATCTGTATATATATATATATATAAGTATATATAAGTATATATATATATATATTACATATATATATATATATATATATTCTTATAAATATTTATATTTAAGTACACGCAAGTCTGATGACCAAGCACCCACATCCGCTGCATACAGTCACCGCCCTGCATCGGCCCGGGGCCCCGCCAGACTTCGAACCCAGAGAGCCCAAGACCCCTATAACTTAAGGTATATTCCTTAATTAAGGAATATAACTTAAATCATAATATTAAGGCCCCTATAACTTCAGGTATATTCCTTAATTAAGGGGTATTGGTGTTGGGTTCTCTGGGAACTTCCTGATCCCTGGGGCCATCTCCCCCTCGCCCCCTGAATCTTCAAAGCCCCAGGGGCCCACTGAAGGCTTAAGTAGGCCCGTAGAAGTGCAAAGCCTAAACCCTTTAAGGCACCCAAACGTATCATGCTTGCTCTACCGGGCCAGCTCCCACGCCTACAACTCTGAAGACTCCCAAAACTCTTCAAACCATACGCCCTAAATCCCTCAAGGCCTTGAACTAAACCCTTTCCTGCAATCAAGCCAGAAGCTCCTAAAGCCTATAAACCCCAGGGTAGCTGTTGTCGCAGCCCTTACAGTAAGCTCTTCTAACCAAAATGAATCCTCCCCCCCCCCACCCAAGAGCAATTCGACAAGCGTGTTTGCTATGTTGCCGTTGCTCTTTCTCCCGCTCTTGCTCCTGCTCCTTCTCCTTAACCAACCCAAAATCCAAAATGGGCTTGAAACTGCGGGGATGCTATCACTGGGAATTTCCGAAATGCCGATTTCTATGAGTAAGAGTGATGCGTAATGAGTGGGGGAAGGGATTCGCCCATCATACAGCCCATAGAACCGTTGTGGTTTAGCAGCCCTGACAGTATCCCCCAAAACCACAAAAACAAATAGCACCATCTAAACCCTAAAACCCTAAACCCCTAAAGCCCTAAACCCTTCCCCTTAAACCCTAAACCCCTAAAGCCCTAAACCCTGCAACCCTAAACCCCTGAACCCCCAAAACCCTAAACCCCTAAAATCCGGCACTCCCAAAACCCTAACCCCCAACCCCTAAACCCCTAGAATCCGAAACCCGCCCAAGGCGCCACCTGATTGCAAAGCTCATAGAAGCGAGGCCTCCTCTTGTTGGGGAAAGGGAACTTCGGCCCTGAGCCAGGGATTTAGGGTTTAGGGTTTTAGGGTTTAGGGTTGAGGGTTTAGGGTTTAGGGTTGAGAGTTTAGGGTTTAGAGTTTAGGGTTTAGGGAGAGTTTAGGGATTTCAGCACTCACTCTCGAACATGTCTGGGCGAGGTTCCTGGTACACGACGATGTGGGGTTTAGAGTTTAGGGTTTACAGATGTAACGGAGAATCTAGTATAGCATAGTACAGTACAGTACTAGAGTTTAGGGTTAGAGTTTAGGGTTTAGGGTTTAAGAGTTTAGGGAAGGGCGATGGAGGCCTCATCTAGGGTTGCCTGGACCCTTCAAGACCTACCGCTCCTTCCTATGATTTCCGTATCTACCTCCTTAAAGAGGTATTTGGGGTTCCCAAAGGGTCCAAGTACCATTATAGTAGGTACTTATTAGGTATTTGGGCCCCCAAAGTATATACTATACTAGTACTTGGACCCTTTGGGGTTTAGGTAGGATAGCACTTCTCGAGTTGTGCGTGCCATCCTTGCGCAGGGCTCGGAACATCCAGCAGGTGCTGACGATGTCACACAGGGGCCTTCATTAGAATACGGTTTTGGAGCACATTCTGCTTAAAATGGCTACAGTTCGGAATAATCTTGGTGATTATTCCGACCCCATATATATATATATATATAGATAGATAGATAGATATAGATATTAACTGCGGCGACGACAGTAAAGCCAGGAGCTCATAATAGCTTGTCGTAGAGTCATCAAGCATTATCAAAGGCGCCACGACCACGACCTGCCTCATAACTAAAGATTCGATCAACCAGCCGCCCAGACGATACAAACCAAACCACTAGTCACTAGTCCATTGCCAGCAGTCGGACTACCTTGCGTCGTGCACACTAAGGACAGGGCGAGGTGCCCCCCGAAGCCGAACCCCAGAGGAGTGTAATCCGTGCCGGGAACTCACAAAGGCAGCCGACCACTGCTGTATCTTCGCAGACAAGGAATGGGCAACCACTGGAAAACTGGGCGACCAAGTCACCGTAGGAAGTGAAGTGGCTCGCTAGCGTGTTGATCGCAGAGTACAGGGAGTAGTAGCTCTGCCTGGCCAGTAACCGCCAAGGCATGGAAGGAGACCCGCAAACCGGAAGACAACCTCCCCCAGGCCTTCCGACGGACAGGTTTTGGCGACGGTAGAGCGCCAGCCAGTCATTCATCTCCTTCTTGACCCGGCTGTTCCACTTTTCCTCAGTTACAAGTGCAAGGACAAATGGGCTCGCCACGCGTTCGGGCGTTTTGAGTTGGTGGACACATGACAAGGATTCGATGCAATGGCTGAACGGCCGGCTGAACATATCGCGATTCCACAGGCAGCGCAAGCGTCCATGTTGGGGGTGCCTTTGTCCAATGACGCCGAGATCTTCATGTGCTTCATGACCTCCAAGATTCTGGTACACTTGCAAGACACAAGTTCAAAGGCTATTCGGCTACTCGTTCACTGCCACTGACGGCGCGAAGCTTTTGGAGTTCCCAGGCACAGCGCGCTCGAGGCTCCGGGTCCCATCATGCCGCGATGAGTGGTAAAGGTTGACCGATGAAACCGAACGACCACATGCCATGAAGCAGTGTCTCTGAAATCATGCTCTCCGTCTGTCTCTCTATGCATCTTCTCGCCCTCTTTCCTCTCTTCGCTTCTTCTTCCGCTGCAATCGGGCCCGGATGGTGCTTCGAGGTTCTCCAGCGCTACAGGCGCTCTGCTGTTTTTGCCTCAAAGTCTGGACCCTATGTTTCGGCGGGGTCTTGACGACTTGCTCCCGGCACGGGATGCCTCTGGCGGATCCAGTTCTGATGATCACAACTCTGCACCCAAAGGGCCCAAGTACTAGTATAGTATATACTTTTGGGGCCCAAATACCTACTAAGTACCTACTATAATGGTACTTGGACCCTTTGGGGCAAGGGTGCGCAGTTCGACCTGCTGGGCTTTCAGACCCGCTGGCAAGGCTTGGGATTGCTCACACCCTCCAGCTATGTCACTTCCCCTCCCCTTCTCTCTTCTTCTTCCACTGGGCATGAGGGACGGTTAAAGCCCCTCGGCCACTTGGGCCCCCCATGTGTTATGGGGCTTTGAAGGGACTGTGATAAGTTTTTGTTATCTCTCTCTCTCTCTCTTGCGCTTCCTCCGCGACACATGCGAGTTTCGATTCAAGCAGACTTCAATGACAGGCTTAAAGGCTCGGCCAGGAAGGAAGAAGACTTTTCTGGGCAAGAAGTCAACTGCACTTGGAACATGCTCGAGCCTGGTATGTGTCCTGGCGGTATTTGGACTTCATGTAGAAGGTCTTGTAGTCCTCACGTGCCAGGCAGTGTTTGTTCGAGCCAGCCAGCGTCGACGCGCAACCGAGACTTATATAAACTTTCAACAGCAGGCTTCTACTGACATTAATCGGAATCGTTTCAAAATGAGCATCCTATCTACAGATGGTCTCCGCCGGCACAACTGAAGCTTGTCGTTGGTACGATGTTCGATCAGTTGTCAAGTGGTCTACACAGAAGCAGGGCATCTTCATGCAAAACAAGCTTCAAGCATCACGCTGCCTGGAAACGTAATATGCAGGTCCAATCGTTCTTCAGTCTACACCACAAAACGGAATTGTTTCGGATCGGGAATCCTCCTTCTTGTCCGCTGTGTTCTCCATGCCGATAAGCCTGGTTTAGGCACAGATCGGAATGCTCACCGAATCTCCTAAACCCTAAACCCTAAACCCTAAACCCTAAACCCTAAAGCTCTGACAGCGCAAACCCCTGGGCCGCCAAGGTCTTTGAATGCTAGGGTACGAAGGTGGGGATCGTCTGCCCTCGTGCGTGCATTGGGCTATCGATCCTGACCGGTAGACCCTTACTGTACCATCCACTGCCTTCATGTGTTGTACATCACGGCCGAACACTCTGTAAGCTTGCTAGATTGCTACTACACTAGATGGTTGTGCCATGGTGCAGTTTCCACCGCTGCAACAAAAAGTATGTGCATGCGCACCTGTATGTCACAAATGCCGTGTATGTGTTTATATTACATGCTTAGCCAGTATATCAATGGGCCACCTGGACGGATGCTGTACTACCTCATGTATTGCTCTGGCTTTGATTGCGCTTCCGGCGGAACCCTGCTGATAATCCACCTTTCGCTTCATGTGCGATGCAACTACAAGTCACCATGGGCCACCGCAAATGCTAGCGTGGTCATGATGGCAGCACTCGACGGGGTGGTAACAAACAGAGAATCAAATGCGCTCACAGCTACTTCGGTGTATCGCAAAAGCACGGACCCAAGCAAAGGCATTGAATATAAGCCACTTCAACTTTAACCTGGAATGGAGTCCCGTCGTCAACCGAGTGACTCATATGGGTCCGAGTTGATGCGGTCTGGAACTTCCACCTTGACGCTCACAGCGGAGAGCTTGGTATATTCAGGCTAGCCCGTGTCATGTGTCGAAGGAAAGCATTGCTGAGTAACGCAGGCAACTGAATCTGTAAGTTCAAAGACAGGAAAACTAAATACCAAAACGGTTTAGGGTTTAGGGGTGTGGGTTTAGGGTCGCGAGCAAAGCCCTCAAATGGCAAACAGCCGTTTGGATTGCAAACTTTCACTGTCCCAAGCCATTCTTCCGCTTTTTCTGCGCTCAGCGGCGTTGGGCTTTGAAGCCACAGCCTGCGCCCACGCAGCCTCACCTCGACTAAGTGAGGCTAATGACTAGTCATTGAATCGCTGGGTTCTCGTAAGTCTTGGATTGCACTAGGATCTTCATCGATCCGGACCAGGGTTTTAAGCTACAAGCGCAGGTAGGGTGTAATGAGGTTCGTGGGTGGTCATGAGCTTGGTTACCTGAGACCCCTATATACCGCCTTATCATTCAACACACCGTAAAGCGTATCACGTAGCGTTGGGTGTACATATGTGGACTCGCACGGGGTTTGCGTTGTCTACACGGCTGTTACATGAGGTTGTGTATGTGTCCTATTGCACCAGGGTTTAAAGGTTTATATAACTCGAATCTATCTCTCGCTCGCTATCTTTCTCTCTCTCTCTCTGTCGCTCCTCTCTCTCCTCTCTTTGTCTCTCTCAATCCGAATCTGCAAATGTGTTTTTGCCGAAGGCCCGCTGTAGGATTCAGCGGGCTTCAGATAGGGTCAGGCTGCCCACCCCAAGCCTTCCCCAAACCCAGAGAGCCCAATACTCCTTAATTAAGGAATATACCTTAAACCATAATATTAAGGCCCCCATAATTTAAGGTATATTCCTTATTGAAGGGGCATTGGGCTCTCTGGGAACCTTCCCCGACCACAAGCCTGACATTGGTAACGCTGACCGAACCCTCAACGCCATACCCATGGCTGCTGGCCAGAAACTTCCCGTCACCGCCGTGGCCAAGGCGGTGAACATGGGAAGTGCCAGTCCTCGTCTTGAAACGTCCTGAGGCAATCTCCCTATTCGCATGTGTATGTGTTTTTGCTCGTTTATCCGATTTCACTCTACTTACGTGTTTCTGCTTAAGCTGTTCGTCCTCCACAAGACCTGTAGCAGGCTATGCAGACGTACAGCATGCGATCTCGTACAAACAACCTACGATTGGGTACTGAAGGACGGGGTCAACAGCTTTGGGTTGAGGGTCATGCAGCTGAATTGCGGATCATGATGTATGGCTGCGGGCAAAGGAAGTCTTTTGGGGTTCAGGGGCTAACACGCAGAGCCCCCTCTCTTAATGAGCTAACATGAGGACGGAGGGTCCCTCTATTCATATATATATATATATATACACACACACATACATACATATATATACACATACGTATATATATATATATTTCTACATATAAATATACACATATACAAAACCATACACATCTATACACACAAGACGCAAATTATAGCCCTTTAACGATGGTGGGCCTTGATGAGCAGTAGTATTGAGTAGAACAAGGAGGACCCAGAGTAATGTTGCAGCCCTTCAACAAAGTTGGTTCATACATCGAGCGTCAAATTATGGGGACCTTATCGAAATACTTTTTTTTTTTTTTT